ACAAGTATAGTCAGAGAAAGTCATCTCGTGGATACTTTGTTAAAACTGGGCGTAAACATTAGAGTGATTTTTGCTCCGGAACATGGTTTCAGGGGTAAGGCTGATGCAGGTGAAGTGATAGATGATACTAAAGATACCAAAACAGGGCTTTCTATCATCTCTATCTATGGGAAAAAGAAAAAACCATCATCAGAAGACCTCAAAGATGTGGACATTGTGGTATTTGACATCCAGGATGTAGGTGTAAGATTTTATACCTATATATCCACCCTACACTATGTAATGGAAGCCTGTGCAGAATATAAAAAGCCTCTGATGGTGCTGGATAGACCCAATCCAAACGGGTACTTTATTGATGGCGAAATCCTTGATCCTGCCTACAAATCATTTGTCGGAATGCATCAGGTTCCCACAGTGTATGGTATGACTATAGGTGAGTATGCCAAAATGATCAATGGTGAGGGTTGGTTGCCCAATAAAGCCATATGCGACCTGACAGTCATCGAATGTAAAAACTATACTCATGACACATTTTATGAATTGCCAGTAAAACCCAGCCCCAATCTTCCAAATATAAGATCAATTTTATTGTATCCTTCTGTGTGCTTTTTTGAAGGTACCACCTTAAGCTTAGGTAGAGGCACAGAAAAACAATTTCAGGTCATCGGCCACCCATCATTAAAATCAGACTTTTCATTTACCCCAATGCCCAATGAAGGCGCCAAGGAACCACCACTGAAAGGTGAAAAATGTTATGGCACAGATCTAAGTAATATTACAACAGGAAGTATCATCAAAGACAAAAGGATTAACCTCAGCTACCTGATTGATTATCATAATAAGATGAAAAGTGCTAATCAGAAATTTTTCCTTGATAACAACTTCATTGACAAACTTGCAGGCAGCGCCCAGTTGAGAAAACAAATACTGGCGGGCAAGAGTGAAGAAGAAATCAGGATGACGTGGAAACCCGGATTGGAAAAATTTATGAAAGTCAGGCAAAAATATCTGATTTACCAATAGATGATGAAATCTGTTTTTAAATCAATCAATTTTATTTAAACTAGTGAAAACTTTGATATTTTTCCTAATTCAGAGTATGATTTAAAGTTCATGAAGAGAAATGTTTTCTGTCTGTTATTAATGTTTTCATTTTATATGGGAAAAGGTCAGCAAAAAGACACACTCATTTATATAGGTGATCCGATGTGTTCCTGGTGCTATGGTTTTAGCCCTGAATTAGACAAGATTATCCTTGCATTTCCAGATACTCCATTTGAGATGGTGATGGGCGGATTGAGACCCGGAGGAACAGAAAAAATGAGTGATTTAAGAGACTTTCTACATGAACACTGGACAGAGGTCCACAGAGCAAGTGGTCAGAGATTCAATTTTGCCATCCTTAAAAAGTCTGAAATCACATACGATACCGAACCGGCATGCAGGGCAGTCATTCTAGCCGGAAAAATGAAGCCGGCAATACAATATGATTACTTTAAAGCAGTCCAGGAATCATTTTACATACATAATCATCTGCCCAATGATGATGATACATATGTCCAGTTAGCTGCAGGTCTGGGACTGGATGCCAAAGAATTTCACAAACGATTTAAGCAGAGCCAGACAAAAATGGATGCATATTCTGATTTTGACCTTGCCGGATCCATGGGAAT